CTCCAGCTATGTTATAACTCAGCTCCAACCAAGGCATCACCATTCCTAATTCCTTGTTGTCTGGGTATGATGGGACATGTGGTCAAAACATCTGGAAGGCACCAGGTTGGGGAACATGGATTTAGGCATGTTTCTAGATGCTGGTCAGTGCAATAGGAAAAACAAATTAAATGGGAAGGTCCATCACAATCAAAGTAATGGTAGTGTTGCACATTTTGCACAGGATGCCTCTTTTATTTTCTACACAAGTGGGGAACATGAAGACAACAAGATGCTGTTGGCTCCTATCAGCCCCATCCAGCATGATCAATGGTCAGGGCTAACTGGCATTGTAGTCCAACGTTATCTGAAAGGTCACAGCTTTCCCACCTCTGATCTTCAGCCCCAAGTCAGGCTAACCAACCTCAGGTAGCTGTGTTGAACCATTGTAAACAAAGTCCACAAAGAGGATTTTCATAGTGCTGAATGCAAACATTCTGGTTGCACTGAATCCTTCCTAAGGCTAACTACTCAAGGAAGAAGTTTCTGAATGAAAGCAGCATGTTAAGCCTCCCTTTGTGATTTGCTTTAGTTATGAAAATAAAAAAGAGCTTACTCAGACATCAGCTGGCCATGTGTTGTGCCAACACGTGGATGAAGTTAGACGGCCATTATAGTACAGATTGAGTCTCCCTTATCCAAAATGCTTGGAACCAGAAGTGTTTTGGATTTCAGACTTTATTTTTATTTTTCGGAAATGGGACCAAGTCTAAACACTAAATTCATTAATGTTTCATATACCCCTTATACACATCACCTGGAAGTAATTTTATACAATATTTTAATAATTTTGTGCATGAAACAAGGTTTGTATACATTGAACCATTGGAAAGCAAAGGTGTCACTACAACAACCACCCATGTGGACAATTTTAGATTTTGGAGTATTTTGGAATTCTAGATAAGGGGGACTCAACCTGTCCTGGAAATGCTGAGGTAACAGGAGACAATGAGCCACACATGCCATGACACTGACATGGACCAGCATGACCCAGGGTCAATTGAAGCATGAGTACCTCTTCATCAGTGACAGTACATGGCCTTCCTCAACTAATCTGCACTGCTCTTTATCCCAGTACCTTCAGGATTGTGAGACCTAGGGAGAGGAATGTAATGTATTGGCCTTCCTGTCCTGTCACACCAGGAAATTCTCTTACATACTGTACTTTCCTAGATCTTTGTCACACTACACTGTAATAGTGCTATATTCCTCTTTAACTGCCATAGCAACATTGTAGGGAATCTTGGGATGTGCAGTTGAGTGAAGAGTATGTAGAATTCTCAGTAATGTGCTCTTGGGTCTTACTAAACTATGAACCCTCAAATTCCATGTGATGTTGACATCTTAAAGTGGAATATAGTGCTATAACAGAAAGCCAGTATGGGTTAGTGTTTTGAGCCCTGGACTACAACTCTGGAGACCAAGGTTTGAATCCCTGCTCAGTCATGGAAACCCAATGGGTGACCTTGGGTTCAGAGGGAGGCAAAGGCAAACCCTCGCTGAACAATCTTGCCAAGAAGACCCCCCATAGATTCACCTTGGGGTCATCATAAGTCAGACCCAACTTGAAAGCACACTGCAACAACATAGTGCTATAGCAGTGTAGTACAATGGTGATCCTAGTTTCTATTTCAGCCTTGTTTTCTGCCATTTTCATAAATCTTGTCCTCACAAATCTGGATTTATGAAAGTTGCTTCCTTTTTCTGCGTGGCTTTTTCTGCCTGAAATATTCCAGACACAACAGAAGCAGATTATGTGAGGAGGAAGGGTGAATTAATTCTCCCATGGCATTTTGTAAAGAGCAAGAGAAAGTGAGAAGACAGGATGCATTCCAGTACTCACTGATAACTATTTAGCACTCTTTGTTTCCTCTTTCCTCCCCATACCAAGAATTTACACCCTCTTGAGCTAGGAATGTTTAGAAACTAAACCTGGAAGCATTCATATATGGAGACAGAGAGGAGATTTAAGTGTGTGTGTGTGTGTGTGTGCGCGCGCGCGCGCCTTCAAGTCACATGTCAACTTATGGTGACACCATTAATCCCATAGGATTTTCTTAAGAAGGAATATTCAGAGGTGGTTCTATCAATTCCCTCCACTGAAACCTACAGTACCTGGTGTTTGTTGATGGTTTTCCATCCAAATTAATAATAATAATAATAATAATAATAATAATAATAATAATAATAATAATAATAATCCTGCCTCTCCTCAAAGCTCAGGGTGGGGTAAAGCATGTTAAAATACAAAACACAATTAAAAACACATGCTACTAACCAGGGTTGACCCTGCTTAGCTTCCAAGAACAGATGAAATCTGATCCCTTTAGGATATTTAGGCAAATTTTAGAATTTAGAATAATACATCTTCTTTAACACATTTATACAATGCTTTCCTTTTAAAATATTCAAGGCAACTCACAGCATGAAAAACAAAACACTAAAAAACAAAGGTATACCCATTATTGTGCAATATTTACTATACAAGAATTATTTTTTAAAAAACCATTCTTAATGTAGGCATTTCTTTTAATAATACTTTACTTAAGGTATAGATATGAATTATGGTTGCCTCTGCACTGCAGAAATAATGCAGTTTGACACTGTTTTAATTGTTGTGTCTCAGTGCTATAAAATTCTGGGATTTGTAGTTTTGTGAGATATTTAACCTTCTCTGTCAGAGAGCTCTGATGCCACAACTCCAAGTCCCAGGATTCCATAGCATTGAGCCATAGCAGTTAAGGCGGTGTAAAACTGCATTATTTCTACAATGCAGATGCAGCCTGTATGGCCTTCCAAATATTTTGGACTACAGCGCCCAGCAGCCCTAGGCAGTATAGTCAATGCTGAGGAATGCTAGGAGATGCAGTCCAACAACATCTGAAGGGATACAACATGATTCCTACCTGTGACCTCAGGGTACCTAGAAGTGCTTTGAATCTGGTTCACCATGATCAAACTATACCTTAAGAAGGGCCATCTTCATGTTATGTAGAGGACAGTTGTCTCTTTTCCCTCCTTAAATTATTGCTGGTATGGTGTGATTTGTGAAAAGATCACAGAATACAGGAAGGCTTATCCTTGTCTCTCTAGCTGAACTCGCCAAAGCAACCTCCCTTTGCAGCAATGGATAATAGTAAAAAAGAAGTGGGGGATGTTAGGTTAAAACAGGGGTAGGCAACCTTTTTGAGCCGGGGGCCGGTTTGCTGTCCCTCAGACAATTGGGGGGGGGCCGAAGCACCAAAAATAAAATAAAATAAAATAAAATAAAATAAAATAAAATAAAATAAAATAATTTTTTAAAAAAAAAATTAAAAATATATGCATGCACACTCTCTCGGCCCCAGAAAAGCCATGGCAAACCCCCTGTGGAGATTTTGCCAAGAAAACCCCAAGAACAAGTAATAACAACAATAATCAATATCATCGTGGCGAGGGGTGGCAGGACTGGCCTGGGGCCAATCCAAAGGCCTTAGGGGGCCGCATCCGGCCCCCGGGCCTTAGGTTGCCTACCCCTGGGTTAAAACATGATAGTAAAAAACTGAGGGTTAAAAGGAGGATGGAGGAGAGACACCATTGTATAAGTAGAGTCTATTCAGTAGACTATATAGGATTGCATGGTTATGCACACAAATGTACTGTATTCATAGGACAGAGATGGTGAACAAGTAATCCTTCAAGTGTTATTGGACTGCAGTTCCCATCAGCCCCAGCCAGCATAGACACTGATCAGAAACAATGGGAGCTGTAGCAATTCAAAAACAACCACTCACTTCCTTCCCTATTATTGAAAAAATACCAAAGCACATTTATCTTCCATATTCTTTTGCTCATGTTCAAAAGAGAAGGAGGGGGAACCTGTGCTGAAGAGAAGAGGGACAGGAGTTTCTAAGGGAGGACCACTACAGCTTTCATGTGCCCATCTGCATCCCTTGATTTTAACCCACTTTCTATTTTTCCAGGCACCTCCCAATCCAGTAGTGTCTTTAACCTCACAGAAATCTTCCACCTAATGAAGCTTCCAGGAGTAATGGATGTCTTTTTAATCAAAGTGCTTTCTGGACTTCCTACAGGTGAGTGCTGTGTCATTTTAAATAATAAGAGGTCCAATCATTAATTATTAATTTCAAAGGTTGCTGGCTTGCAGTTCCTTCTCAACCAAGTATCAATTTTATTATTATTATTATTATTATTATTATTATTATTATTATTATTATCCCGCCCCTTTACGTAACGCAATTGGGGAAGCTTACAACATTAAAATATACAATACATATTTCATAATCCTACCCACCCCTTAAAATACTATTAAACAATAACAATTTAAAACACACTTTAAATGTTAATGCAAGTAAACAAATAAACAATAACTGCAGCAGAGTAAGGGAGCATATTGGACTATCCTTTAATGGCTGGGATATCAATTCAGGAAAGGCCTGCCGGAAGAGATCCATCTTAACAGCCTTTTTAAGGCTGTTTAAAATGGTAATATGACGGATCTCATCCGGCAGGCCATTCCATAATCTGGGAGCGGTTGCCGAAAAGGTCCTCTGGGTGGTTGCAGACAATCTAGTTTTTATAGGCTGCAGCAGATTCCTCCCAGAGGACCTGAGTGTGCGGGGTGGGTTATATGGAAGGAGGCGGTCCCAAAGATAGGTTGGACCCAAGCCATCTAGGGCTTTAAAGGTAATAAGCAACACCTTGTACTGGGCCCAGAAACTAATGGGCAGCCAGTGAAGTGATCTTAAAATGGGTGTAATATAGTCTCAATGTTCCTCAGGCCAGTTTGGCTGCCATATTCTGTACTAGTTGAAGTTTCTGGACCAAGTATGAGGGTAGCCCCATGTAGAGTGCATTATAGAAATCAAGACAAGAGGTTACCAGCACATGCATCACAGTTTCAAGGCCCCTAACTTCCAGGAAAGGGCGCAGCTGGTGCATCAGCCAAAGCTGATAACAGGTACTCCTGACCGTCGCATTCACCTGATTTATCATCTGAAGTGACAGATCCAGGAACACCCCCAGACTGCAAACACAGTCCTTAGAGTAGAGTGTGACCCCATCCAGGACTGGAGATTTCATCCCAATACTTGGTTTCGGGGCTGCTACTGTAAGTACCTCTGTTTTATTTGGATTCAGTCTCAATCTTTTTTTCCTCATCCAGTCCCTTACTGCTTTAAGACAATCATTGAGAGGAGAGATGCCATCTGAGGTCAAAGCTGAAGACCGAGACATGGAGAAATGTATCTGGGTGTCATCAACGTACTGATAACACCCAGCCCCATGTCTCCATATGATCTCTCCCACCGGCTTCATATATATATTGAATAGCATCAGGACCAGGATGGTGCCTTGTGGGATGCCACAATTAAGCTCTTTCTTTACAGAGCAGGTGTCCCTGAGCATCACCCCCTGGAATCTGCCCAAGAGGAAGGAATGGAACCATTGCAGTGCAGTGCCACCAATTCCTAACCTTCTCAGGTGATATTAGCTCCAAGTCATGTTGCTACACTAATGATTAGGATATTAGAGGAGCCCTCCATAGACTGGGTTACACTTGTGCTTTCTCTCCGTATTCTAACCTATTCTATTCTATTCTGTTTTAACAGGATCAGAATAAGGGTATGGCCTTCCTGAACAGGAATTCTGTCCCCAGTAATTTTCCTTCAGTTTCCAAATTTCTAGAATTGCAGAATGTGAGACCATTCATACCTAGAACTTCTGCATTGGCTGTGTTTGTATTCCCTTGGTAACTTTGCTTGCATCTTCTCTTTGGATGCTCAGCTCTGTTTCTATATGCTCAACTGAAGTGTTAAATTACTGCAGTTCTAAAAATGTGGGGACTCAAGAAAAAAAATCATCTGCTGGGATCCAAATTCTTAGTGGTGAAGCAACAGTCTCATTTTGCATTCCCTGTAGCAACACCAATGCTCTGAGTCAATGTTCCAACCATCTATGCCCTCCAAGCAGGGCTTTCCACTCCACTTTACTTGACCACTTGTGTTTCATTCAGTCATACTACACCCTATATTCAGTCAAGCTACACCCAGTAGTTTGGAGTAGGTTGCCCACATAGTTTTGGTTTGTTTTTTTAATTAAAATAATTCTGCAAATGGACACATTATTGAAGGAAGGAAGAATGGTTTCATCCAGTGGTGAGAATTTCCAGATGTTTTTGAACGTAATATCTCAGCAGCCCTACCTGTCATAGTCAATGGTGAGGGATGCTGGAAGTTGCCATCCAACAGCATCTGTAGGGCCAAATAATTCCCACCCAATTTACTCCATACAAACTGAACATAATATAGCACACCCTATTGTGCTGAAGGATTCTTTCACAAAGTGTGGCCTTCTGCCACTGTGCAGCATCAGCAAGGAATTGTGGTTCCTGTGGAATATTTGGATGGCTGAGGTAAGATTTGTACATATCAAAGTGCTGAGAAGAG